TATATATATTAAGCAATATTTTTCCACAGAAAATACAAAATGTAAAAATTGTGTGTTTAGTGATTCAGGTAACTAATGTTTGTCCCACTATAGAAATTGTAAATGATATTAAAAAAATTAAAGACTGAAATTGTTCAGATAAAAACCAAGCTAAGAAAGTTCTTCCTTTGTATCTTAACTTGTTAATGTGGGCGTTCTCCACCTTGGCAATGTGTTGYAATTTCTGGATATATGGATTAGATCAGTTGAAATGCAGGATACAGTATTGAATGTAAACACTAAGCGCACACTGTGCATGCGATTGATTACATGAAGCAACACAAATAGTTCAGTTTAAAAAAATAATTTTATGCAAGCATGACAAGCAATAACAAACAGCATTGCTCAAACTCAGAGGACATGTTTGTGTTTGACTTATTTCAGACAGTGTTTTATATTGGTATTGAGTAGCTGTTGGTGTTAACACCCATTTGAAAATCTTATTGATAATTCAAACTGAGACAACCTGACCTAATTGTACTGCAGGTAAGATATTGACTTTTAGAAATAAATGCATTGTTCAAAATGGTATGTCTGAATAAAACAGGAATCCACTGGATTCTTARAACTTTATTCTCAATCTTCTGACTCCAGYCAGGTTCATAACTGCAGCACAGGTCTCAGCAKAAGACCTTGGGCTGAACCAAAACAAAACACAGGAGCCCTGCTCTGAACAGAGACTCTGCAACACTAACAACTTCTTTCTGCTGTAATAATGAATTGACCTTATAATGTACAGCTCTTCCTGGTTACACCTCTGGAGGTGTTACTTTTACGTCAGACGTAGAATGTAACTCATTTTTGTTTACTAATTTTTTAGAGTTGTCATTTTTGTACAGACAACTAAATTATATTTGTTTATCCATTTTTGTCTGTACCTATTAACAAGTAAACACTTTTTATTTGAATGCATAAAAAAATCCAGTTCTAGCATTTGGGGGCCTTTTTACCACGAGGGGCTCAAACGTACATGACAGCTGCAGTTCACTGACTGTCCAGCAGGGGACGCGATGCAACACTGTAGATGTGAAACAGTAGAGTTTAACACAACAGAATAAGAAGATACCTGTATTTTGTATTTTGCTGTACTTTCAGGTATAAAAATAACAGGTAAGACCAGACGAACAAAATACACGCATGTGCTGTTTTTTTTCTACACGTCTTCTCTCACCGGGAATGGGTTGCACAGAATGCTGTATTTTGTTAAAATAGAAGGAGACGTGCTAAAGTTTTGTTGGTAAATAGCATTTTTAGCTAATAGCTTTAACCAAACGTGGTTTCATGTTGAGGTTTAAAACCCAGTTGAGTTTCAAGCTATATTTTAAATTATTATCTAAGCAGTTGTGTCACTTAAAGGCGATTTATGTTTTTGAAACTGAAACGATACAATAATCTGTATCATAATCATGCTAGTCATTTAGCCACAAAGCCCAGYAATCCAAACTCTGTTAAAATATTTAGGATTTTTAGATTTACTTTCGAATAAGTCAAGCATAGGAACATATTACCACACATTTGTGCGTTTATTTACAGTTCTACAATCGCAACATTCATTCGGTTTTCACACAAAGTCACCATAACTCGTAATAATTGTTTTAGCTTGGTGTTTACTTTTTGTATTTGGTTGGATCACGGAACTGTATCGGTTTTCTGTTGCCAGGGCAAATCAATCTTTATTACAGCTTTGTTTATTCTTATTGACGTGACTAAAACCACACACACACACACACACACACAAAGAGATAAACAAAAATGTACTAACCTACTTCAAAACGCCAGCACATCAAACACAGATTTAAAACACAAAAGTRTATARCTTTAGGAAGCCATTAATGATCATAAATCTGGGGAAATTTAAAAACCTTTCTAAATAAACATTGATTTGGACACCATCTCAGCTGTGCCATAAGGTCACCTGATTGCATACCAGCAAATCCTTACTAACCAAATCWGAGGTAGCTTCATTAGTTCCTGCTTGTCAAACAGTAAACATTTATGTCTTCTTTTCCTTTATGTGTATGCATAAGTGTGGTGTGTGTAAATGTTATCCTCACATTTATTTGGTGAAATACCAGAGATGTTACATTTTTAAACTTTAGCCTCAATCCTCTTTAAGTGTGACAGTGTGGGAGTCCCAGCTGCTGCCTGGCTAAGCCTGAGCTGAGAGGAGATCAACTCAAGAAGCCTGCCAATTTGTGTTTCAACTCAGGTGTTGACTGACCGGATAGGAAGTTTTACTACTACGTGTARCTGACAGCCTTTTTTTTATTAGTCCATCTGCTCATTTTCACACTCTGTTTTTCATTGTCTGCTTGTCAGGATGGCACAGTTGGGGGCCGTCTTCTCTATAATCGCTGCTCTTGGAGGAGCAGCTCTCTTAGCATCTGTTCACAAGATTGATGAAGGGCACACTGGAGTGTACTACAGGTGAGTCCTCAGGATGTACTGCTGTTTGTTGTGTGCATGAGAATGTGTTGTTAATGAGACTGCAGAGATTTGAGCCTGTGTTTTAAAGCTGTTTGGAAACAGTGTGGGAACACTCACACTGTGAAGGTTTTAAATTGTTCCACATACCAGCACTGTTGTGCCTGAAGAGCCCACATTGGCATCTTACGGCACATGGGCCAAATCTGGCCTTATTGTTTTCATCCAGCCCACAGGAGGTCAATGAAAAATCAAAGATCAAATATAACTCATTCTGCATGAAATCTCAAAATCCTAGCTTTTATTTTAAAACAGTTTTGTCAGTGCTTTAATTTAAGATGAGCCCTGGTGTTTGTAGCAGCTTTACACTGAGACTAGAGTTTGCAGGAGATTTAGGAGTTTATCAGGATCATCAACTTACTTGATGCAGGACTAGAAGCTGGAAGTTGAAGCCACATTGTTAGGTCCCTCCTTCATAAACACGTGAAAGATTTTCCTGACTAAAAGATAAAAATACTATTCAGGTATTGACAGTTTTTGTTTTGCTACTGTGTGTTCAAACAAGCACATTTAAATACATTTAGGCTTTTCAGGTAATAAAGTGTGACTGTGTTGCTGTAGCCTGTTAGGCAGCTGTGGGAGTGTGTTGGTGAGACTTTGTATCAGTTGTACATCATCATCATCATCATCATCATCCCAMATCCTTCAGCCCAGACTCTKCCTCCAAAAATAAAACGACAGCTCCCAAGACAACTGAGATTTGGCTGTCAGCTTTGGACAGTGGAATATAGTTGAGCTGCTTCTTCCATCTTTATTTATGTTGTTTGTCAGAACACAGGAAAAATACAAAGACTAATACAGAATGTAGAGTTTGTAAAAGTATCTGGTCTTGTGACTTGGGTGATTGAATTTAATTTGTAGAGAACAGATTGCTGTTTTTTAAGGATTAAAAATCTAGGTAAATCCAGATTGGACCCACAAACACACAGAATTATGACTATTCTCATGATAAAACTTTAAAAATATGATTTGAACATTCAGGCATGGAGCAATCAAGACTAGTTTGGTGAAATCTTACAAAATGGTCATATAACATAGAAGCAACAACACTAAAAAAATCAGTACACTGTTCTCTGATGGGGAGTTTGTTAAAGTCTGTTTGGAGGATTCTGCTACATATGAATAACCTCTCTGTCCTTCACATCTACCACAGGTTTKTAACATGTATTCTGGTGAAAAAGAAATATAAAGATTGCTGTTTAATTTYGGTATCTCGGTGCTGCTGTCTGAAGTGTTGCAGAACATGCATAGGTTTTCCACAGCTGTTTTTCTGAATGTTCTCTAAAACGTAAAATTTAAAAGATTAAGTTTAATATGTCAGTATGATGGGTTCAGATTTTTATTTCTCAGTTAGTTTACTTACAGCATCTAATGACAATCATGTTTAATGCTAAAGTTTCTAATCGGTGGTTTAGCTTGTTGCTCTGGCCCTCCTCAGCAGTCCCAGGTCCATATGTGGCTCTTTGGGAAAATGAGTCGCGCATCAGTTCTTTAGAGCAAAACGTGGGTTGAAGACACGTGTGTCAACATCTGTGTGAGTGGTGGGCCGTGTTTTTAGAGCAAAGTCAAATAATCAAAGTATTTTCCTTGTTTAATGAGCTGTTTAAACTAAATTCCTCTTCCTATGATCCATGTTGGTGTTGGCCAWAGCACTAAGTCTTTCCTGTAAAATTCATTAGAAAAGATGTTTTGTCTTGTTTGGATTGAATCTGATGGAGCCTTCCAAGGAAAAGTACAATAAAAGACAAAGAGATTACAGCGCATGCTTTACTTCCTCCTGCTTGCTGAACGAGGACAACTATAAGACTTGTTGTTTCTCTTCATCTTTTTACAGTGAAGTTGAAGCGTTTGAACATTTTCAAAAGGAATATGCTCAAACGTTTCTGTCGTGTGTGTGTGTGTGTGTGTGTGTGTGTGTGTGTGTGTGTGTGTGTGCGCGCGCGCGCGTTTGAAACAGGGGAGGGGCTCTCCTGACTACAACCAGTGGGCCAGGTTTCCACCTCATGCTTCCTTTCATCACCACCTTCAAGTCTGTTCAGGTAACATAAAGTTAATTATTATTACTGTTATTATGCCAACTGTTGCTTATTATGTAGTAGTATAGTACCGTAGTATCCTTTATTTAACCAGGAAAATTGACTCATTGAGATTTAAAACCTCTTTTCCAAGAGTGACCTGGCTAAGACAGCAGCAAAGAATAATAAAATAAAATAAAAAAGAAACACACAGAAACAAAAACAACAAATCCAAATTTCAAAACACAAAACTAACAGACGTCACATAACTAAACTTGAGGGCATCTACAGGTGCCAAGTGATCTGGTGTCTCTGTCCTTTAAAATTGATTTGAATTGTCCCAAGGTAACAAGAGATAACTTGAAATCCTCCTGTGAGTTATTCCAAGTGTCAGGAGCRGAAAATCTAAAGGCCTTTTCACCAAGTTCAGTTGTAACTTTTGGCACCTGCATCATAATGGGGTCCTGAGARCGCAGATCATAATGGCTACAGGTTCTAGACAGAAATGAGCATAAATATAATGGAAGATGCCCAAGAATGCATTTATAGATAAAAATCAGCCAGCGAGAGAGTCTACGAACGGTCAAAGATGGACATTTCACTGTAGTATACAAAGTGCAGTGATGTGTTCGMTAGCTACAGTTTGTCATGAAACGCAGTGCATGTATTGACATTAAACACGAAAATCTGAACCCCTTCACCAGAACATCTGACGTGTACACACCACAATGAACAGTGCAATAGCCTTAGACACACACAGCCAGTATGCTTTAGTTGGCCTTTTTTCTGAAATTTGGGCTTTTTGGCTTCATTTCCACAAAATCAGCTTCTGGCTGGATTTCTCCACACAAAGTGTGAACCTGGCTCCCACAGGTTTCTAACACTTCTCCGCTTATGACACTGCTGAATGTCCAATTTTCATGGGAAGTGAGCATGATTTGTTTTTTGTTTGCTACTCTAACTTTCTGGTGCAGTGTGTTGTTCTTTTTGTTGTTGTTGTTCGTTTTGCTTGAACTTGAAATGTTGAAACTTGCTGCAACAAGACTCCTACCTCATGAGGTGGGATGAGACAAGACATTAGGTTGAGGAAACAAGATTTTGCTAGCTCTCCTCTGATTTCCCATGAGCCTCTTCAGACCTTAAGAGGGCGCTCAGTCTTTTCACAAAGACACAAACCTGATCAAGGAACAACTTTATTTTTCAATATAATCTCAAAGACAAGCACTTTTTTCTGTTTCTATTCATCAGCAATATCCTATGATTTTCTGTTATATTTTAAATGGTACACTTATATCAGGGCGATAGCACTCCAGCACCGTGCTGGATCTCCAGGAAAAAAAATAAGACAGTTTGCCCAGAGATTTAACAAACACAGATCTAACAGAATCACAGCTTTCACTTTAAACACGCTAGACAGGCCAACTAGCCAATCAGACACAGGGTGGGGGCGGGACTTGGATATCAGCAAAACTTTGATTCTGATCCAACAGAAGAGGGAGCAATGCTCAAACTAAAATGATATATTTCTATATTTGTCAGAACAAGTTTGAAAAATAATTGGAGACAAAATTGAAGCTGGCAGCTTTTTTAAAGTGGTAATATCATGTAAAATCAACTTTTTAGAGTTTTATATCATGTTATAATGCTTTACTCTCATAAAAACATGCCCAAAGCCTTGCTTTGACTCATTCATGAGTGTTTGAGAAATCCTGCAGTTTTTAGAAAGCCATGCTGAGGAGCAAAATGACAGGTG